TATAAAAGCTGCAAAGATATTAAAAATCCAACCATTATTTTATGAGAAATTTGATAAAATAGTGATACGAAATAGTGCGAATTTTTGGGATGATTGCCAATATAACTAATTCTCGAACATTGTCTTTGATACATTTGTGCGTATTCAACTTAAAACATCTAAATTTGTCCACCAACAAACATGCAAATCATAGAAATTTCTAATGTTTTGTTCGACGGCGACTTTGCGGCCGTTGGATTGCCATTTGCTGGATTTCCCCGGAGCTCCGCCCACTTTAAAAATAGTGCTAGCATTGTGGCAGTGGTATTATCCTGAGTGTGGGAAGGGGCACTGCATGCAGTTTGGATTTCTCATATAATTCTGGGTAAAGTATGTGGTACCAAGTTGCAAGACGTATATTTCGAACAAGTGACCATTCAGCTACACACAGATGCCAATATCATGGCGTTTGGTTGTGTATTTTGGTTCTAGTGTTGTGAAAAGATTCGAGCGTTCTGGAATTTCTGTGCGTACGCTTTCTTACCTTCTCTAAGCTACTGTGTATTTGTGCATGCATAATTAATGGCGTGCGCGCTATGTGTTGCAGCGGTGTATTGGACGGTATTGAAGTGAAGTTATTAGGTCAAATCAAACATTAAAACTATTACATGGTACTGGTACTGGTAGGTCTAGTACTGACAAGTTGTATTTATTAACCATCATTTTATTATTGAAACGGCCCAAGTGCCTGTGCCCTGGGTACGGTCCGGTATACCGGAACGTACCTTGGTAACTATCTGATATGGTTAGGGTTAGGGTTAGGGAGTAGGCGTAGGCGACTCCCTAGACTCGTTAGTGGAGTAGGCGAGGTACGGTCCGGCATATTAAGATAGTACCAGCAGAGCATATAGGTATACAGGACCGTACCCAGGGTACGTTCCGGCAGTACCCTGGGGACATAGACCCTCTCAGCGTCACTGACACTGTCGCTGTCAGTGCCACAACTTCCAACAAAGTTGAGTCATTAATTAATATTAATTGCAATGTTTTTATAACAACCATTTACATTTAAGGAGATCGAGTTGTTTTCCACATCACTGCAACAGCTGAAGATTGCACAGCAGAAGTTTGTGGAGTCTGAACAGAGCTTGGTGCGGATGACACCGGACACCGATGGAAGTGAAATACTCGTTCCACTTACATCATCTGTATCCATCGCTACTAATAGCTTCTAGTTCTATCCAGCATTACTAAGCAGTAATGTTACATGGTGTGAGTGTTACAAAGAGCACACGTCGGTGTGTTGCCATAGGCTTGCATAACTATAGATAAATAGGCCCAAGGATATAAGAGCTGTCCACATTTGCACATTTGCAAAAATGAATTGTGGTCAGCGCTTATATCCATGAACCAATAAATAGGTTGTCGGTTAGTGTCCCCGGTAATACTTGCCTAACTTTTTATTATCATGTAAAAATTGTAATTTGGTGATGAGCCAATTTTTGTGCTGTACTTGCTGCTGCTTGTTGTAGCTCTCACTCATCTGCTCATGATTCGAGATGCGCACCGTATAGTTACACTGCATATAGATCCTGTCTGACAAAATTATTAGCTTTTCTAGAGAGCATTGCAACTTATGCAAATGAAGCCTTGAATGTCTTGTGTGTGTGTGATATGCTCAGATGTCCAGAAAGCCTTTGACAGTTAAGGTTCTACATTTTCACTTGGCCTCACTTGGCAAGCAAACTTCACACACATGGCATATCAGATGAAGTCTCAACTTTGATAAAACTCCTATAAACCCTTTAGATGCTTGTTTTATAAGTACAATATTCAAGTTGAGTATCTAGATAAATATACTGCATTACTATGCACCTGAATCGTACAACCATTTCTGTATTTGTGTTCCTTACATGTACCCTCACTGTACACAGATGTATGTACCAGGTAAATTATCAGATATCAGTAACGTCCTTATAGATATTGGAACTGGATATTATGTAGAGATGGTAAGAATACATTTTGTTTATTTTGTTCGTATATCTCAAATTAACACTAGTATTTACACTGTCATATTTAAATTATAAGTAATGTGAGGAATTCACATCTGAAGCATTTTTATTATTCAATCAATTAAAACCATCTTTCTTGCAACTAAATTATCTATCCTGGGCCAGTTATCCTGTGACTGTAATGTGTCTGCAGCTGATATATTGGCTGAAAATTGTGATTACAAGTTGTATACGTAAAATCCATTCCTGTAATTGGTTACTAACAATAATATATAAATTGGGTATGGCTTTGCATATTTGCTATACCACCTCTTGCATGCCTGCCTGTTAAGTAGTGATAATACCTATGCATCATTTTTAGGATGTCAACAATGGGAAGGAATATTTTAAGAGGAAAACGGACTATGTTACAAAGAATTTAGAGAAGGTACAGCCGATGCTCCAAGAGAAGTACAAGTTGAAGCAAGGTGAAATTATATGCCTCTATTTCCTCTTCCAGCTTTAATGTGCACACATTGTTTGTCCAACAGATTCAAAGTGTGACTAAAATGGTCAGTTGTGTATAAAAAGGTTCCTCCCTTCCTGGTGCATTGTCTAGTTAGTTTTCAAGGATAATGTCTCTGATGACATAACACTGAACACTATAATGCACTATTTGCAAAAAAACACTAAAAACTTTACCCATTTATATATGTCATTTGTGTATAATTTCATGAAACACACTACTGTGTACCCCCATAGATTTGTATGAGCTATCTAGTGGTTTCAGAGTGATCATAACAGACGAACGTGATGGTGTTTTGTGACAGATGCGTGAGAACGAGCTATTTGTTATTGGATATGAAAGAAAATTGACTTAGAATTCGTTTTACTCATTAACATAATGATAAGTATTTCTTTATTTAGTCTGATAATTGACAAATTTATTTATTTTGCTTTCAGTTACAATGGAGGTGTTGCAGACAAAGATTCAAGCACAACTAGCAACGAAACAAGCTGCTGCCAAGACATAGATTTATTGAGGCAATTTAAATTTAGTTTATTGTTTTGTGAATGTATAATTGCCATGCCTTAGCTCTGTCGATAATTAGTTGTCATTCAATCGTTTATTCTCTACCGGTTAATTCATTTATACACTCGAGGATCGATCCCACGACTGAGAAGTTTGTGTTAAATAAAGGTCATAAAGAGATGGAGTACGACGTACCGTTTCTGAGCTCTGTACCACTATTTCGCTGGAAATTCCTTGCTAAAAGCTGTCTTAACATCCAAGTGTCTACAGCATATATTAGGTGCATGGCTGTTTCTGAAACATTATCCATGTATTGTATCTATGAATTTAAATGTGCACATAATATTTGTAATATTATATTGTGTGAATATACAGATGCGTAGGATACTTACGATGCAAACTGTCAAGCATAGCAAACAAATGTTCTTGGTGCGTTTTCGCTTCGAAACCACTACTATGACTATGTGTCCAAGAGAACAAGAAGAAGATATTCATAGCCAATACTCTAGAGACCAGCTCAGGCTGTATACACAGTAATCAAGATATAACAGATTATAGTCTTGCCTAAAACAGAGTGGAGAGTTGATTACCAAAAACATTTTCTCTCAGATTAAAAAATGCACTGCATTGACTAATGTTTTCTGACGTACATTTACACGTATTGATTAATCTAAAATACTGAATCGTAAAAATCGATCATTTTATGAAAACATCCATTTTAATAAGAAATTGATATTCCAGTTTTAGTAAATATATACACCCTACAAACATTTCAATTCCTCGTAGCACAATAGTCATAATACAAGGTACAAATCTACCCTGTGCAGTGTGCACCTAATTTTACATGGAGAATTAAAGCTAAAAACATCTATAAATGTATCTATACAGTTATACTCAACAGTGTAATATGAAAAGCATATATATTACTGCCCCAGTCATTGCAAAAAAACCACTCGCTGCAACTGTGCGAATAGCTTCACGTAAATAAAGACGTGCATCTCTCATGTTGCTCTATATTTGAGAATAGTAATGCCACAATAACATTTAGTAATAACTAAATTTACAGGTGAAACTATTACATCTCCCCTGGCACCTGCCAATTAGTGCAGAAAAAAACAAAAAATGTTAGATCACTACATACTTACTGCTATGCCATAAAAGGCTACCAGGAATGGTTTTATTCTTTTATTTACCTGTTAATATAAATCTTTAAACTGAAGTAATCTCATACATGTCATACTGTCTCGAAAAGGGATGGACTTATATAATATAATATAAGCCACGAAAAATTCCACAAACACATATTCACAGTATAGATTTTACCATTGTTTTTACAAGACTATTTTGAGCTATGCATGACATTTCCCACGTGAGCCATTATATGGGTCTATAATCACACTGAGACCTTAGAAGCAATTGTGATCAGGTGGATAGCACACTTGACTTAGGGTTGAAAGATCTGGGTTTCGCGTCCCACCATTTAGGGGGTGCATGCAGCCGTAGCCCAATAACACATAAGCACCAGGCACTGCCCGGCAGGAAAACTCATGCATTTTAGTTTAACAAATGTCACTAATTTAGTTTTTAAATATTACATCATTTTTAACCTGGTGCACAAAGGACTTCATGATATGCAACTTGTCTAGAATTATGGCGGTTAAATGCATATTTCACGTATTCCAACATGCAAGATTTACAACAATGTAATATTTTCACCCAACGTCCTTTGAAATATCGTACGAGATTCCACATTACTCACAGATGATTTCACTAGGCGATTATATTTCACAAATAAATGTGTGGCTCTTGAACGCAAAGCTAGACCAACATTAAAATGACCTGCACAATAGTTGTCAAACAGACTTTGTAACAGCTGCTCTGATGTAAGCACAACACAATATATTACTGGTCGATTTCCTGACTGCAGTTGAAATACACATGAATATTAACACATTTCTTTGACAACAGGTGGCGCCACTATCACTAATACTGCATCAGGTCGTAACCCCAGAGGACGTCAGCGATGACGCCGGCTAGAGAGAGCAGCTTGAACGGCGGCAGCTTGGCGATGTCGTAAGCATGTGGCAGTGAGTCGGTGATGAAGAAGTTCTCGAACTTTACTTCGCCGTCTACGAACTTCATGTGAGAGTTGTTCGGGAACACGGCATGAGTCACGTAGGCACTGATTGACTTTGCGCCGCCTTGCTTCAGTGCCTAGAAGAGAACAATAGATAATAAGAAACAATGGGTGCCAATCATGCACTTTCTGGCTCAGCAGGTGACTATCAGCTACAGGAATTATTTGGAACCTAATGAGTGGATCGAAACAATCGATACATACCTAAAACACACATTTACACCATTACTGGCGTTTATTGCAAGTTGCGGTAGACGTCACCGACGGACAAACAGTCTTTTGTTTGAAATATATCGCATAACACTCTGATTTTGTGGCATAATTTTTCTAAAACTGTGTCGTGTATTTTTATCTATATCTGCAGATTGTGAACGAGTATGGAAAAAACTAAACACCGATTACGTACGATGATAAGTTGTTCTCTGTTTGAGGTGAACACTGAGTTCAGGTTTGTTGAATTAAACATATTCAATCATAATAAAAATATAAAAATAAAAAGATTAGAACGAGCGAACGTTGGATTTGCGATAAATTAGCCTTGCACGCTCCTAACGTGTTTAGTCAATTTGTTTGTATTCATTCCTAATAGCTAAGCTCACCTTGGCACACTCGATGAGCGTTCCACCTGTTTGGACGAGATCATCAACAATGATAATATCCTTGCCCATCGGGTCACCTGACGAAGAGAGAAATTATGTTGATGTAGATTGCCAAAACCTCAAATTCCTCCATCTCCCAGCATCTATTGTGCTATCCAACCCTCGTCCCCATGCCTTACCTGTGGCATCTATCAAAACCCATCATCCTAACCCCACCACTCCAAATTCAACATTCCCTGAAACCATTGTTGCACTCGCACTCCATCCAGGATATCCACCATTCCCAAAGCATAAACTTGTCTGGAAAGTCCTTTATAACCTTCCTCTCTGACCAAGCCACGCTCTCTCTACTGGACAAACCTACTCCAAACCTATCCCCAGTATACACCCTAACCGCAGTGAAGCCAGGTTTTACTGCTTACCGCCCCGCAGCTTGATGACTCGCTTGTCACCCTTGCGTGTCTTGTTACACGTAATCATCGTGGTGTTGGGGAAAGACGAGGCAAAACGCTTGTAAGCGCCATCGTCAGGGAACGCCATGGTGACGTCGGCGCGACCAGTCTTGTCGATCACTTGCTTGAGCAGTGGGATCGCCGACAACAGTCTGTCGTTCGCACAGCCGTCGGAACGACGAGACCAATAGCCACTTATTAGTAACAGGAAAGTTCCCGTCTACAAAGCAGTTGTGAGACCATACATGTGTACACATTTTCAAATGTATCTATTGATTTTTTAATGAAGTAGCACAGTATTATGACGATACTGGGAGGAAGGGTCAGGTCAGAATTAAAATTACTATTAATCTATGTATATATATATATATATAAATATATATATATACATATACATATCTAATTA